TTTTTTTTTTTCCTTTTTGGTGCTAGAGATTGAACCCAAGGATGCTTTCCCACTGAGCCACATCCTCCAGCCCTTTTTATTTTTTATTTTGAAACAAAGTCTTGCTAAGTTGCTGAGAGTCTCACTACCTTGCTAAGTCTGGCTTCAAACTTGCAATCCTCCGGCCTCAGACTCCTGAGTTTCTGGGATTTCAGGCCTGGGCCACCAAGCCTGGTTTAGAGGATTTTTCTTTATGACTCTCTGACCTCTTATCTTTGTGGTTTTCGTTGGGGACTTAACACAGAAGTCCATGCTGTACTTTAGGCAGCCACCCTCCAAATCAGTGAATTCCTGTCTTCCTTCTTTTCCAAATGAAGTATGCCCTTTCCTTAAACCCATACATTTCTTCTTAAAGCAAGGTGCCCACGGCTGGGGATGGAGCTCAGTGGTAGAGCAATTGCCTAGCATGTGTGAGGTCCGGGGTTTCATCTCTAGCACCATATGAGAGTGGAGAGAGGTAAGGGGGAGCCAAGGAGCACAGAATAAAACACAACCCAAAGATCCTCCTATGATTCTGGATACCACACTTCCATTCTTAATGCCTTTTCAGAAATAAGTACCTTCCCTGACATTCAAACCTCAAGTCCAGTCCCCATTCTGTGTTACTGCAGTCATCTCTTTATATCCCTAATTTTGATGCTTCACATTTCATTTTCCTTTTGACCTCTTTTCTTTTTCTTTTGGTACCAGGGATTGAACCCAGGGGTGCTTAACCACTGAGCCACACGCTTAGCCCTTTTTATGTTTGATTTTGAGACAGGGTCTCACTAAGTTGCGTAGGGCCTCACTAAGTTGCTGAGGCTGGTTTTGAATTTGCAATCCTCCTGCCTCAGCCTCCAGAGCCTCTGAGATGACAAGTGTGCACCACTGCACCCAGCATCATATTGCCTTCTAATGCACCCTGTAGGCTCAGTTTACCTCTCTGACATGTTCTTCATCCTACTTGCACAGCCTCTGTCTGCACTGTTCTCTGAATTTGCAAATGTCTGTGTAGGTCCTTCCAAGCTCTCTGTGGTGCGGGACCAGTTTTCTGTTTGATCTTCCATCTGTTGTAGATCAACACTCGGATAAAATGCAATAAAGATGAATTACCAGAAAAAGGAAGTTTAAAAAACAAAGACACACTAAAACCTAACCCACTGTTTTCTTTGTATTTCATTCAACAGACAAAAGACTATAAAATTGCTAGAAAGTTTCTAAAAGCTTTCAGTATTCAGGGCACGGTACATGCACACCAGGTACAGTGGTTTGTGAACCAGCCCCATTCGGCCAGCAGCACTTTGAATATCTCTCTGCTCTGTACACAGAAATGCTTCAACTTGCTGATTTACAGCATCTGTCAGTTTTTATGGTGTAAATACCCACAACATAGTCAATTTCAAGTTGAACACAGAGCTGGGAAGAGATGTACACAATCAACTTTAGCAAGTGATAAGAGTGAGTTCCGACACCCCCCTATCAATGCCATTTGGTCTTTAAAATCTTTGTAATAAAAACTTTCCTTTTGAGCATTTATTATACAACTACTGTTTATCTAGACCAAGTCAAGAGTCCATCATGTTGCCCTGAACAGAAACTAGACAATGGGTTGAGGCAGCCCTTCCCTTTGGTGGTCTTCAGCACCCTCAGAGGAGATCATCTGGTGCAAGTCATACCTAATCCAAAGGTGGCCCAGTGCCGTGCAGAAGCTGCCACTTCTCAAAGGTGATCAGATCACAGCTTGCTTCATAACGCAGGATAACACGTCATCAGAAAGAAATTGTTTGACTACAACTGTATCTAAAATTATTATTAATTTTAGATTTTTAACAATTTCTTTTTTCTAAATTAGTTGTTTATGGGCCTTTATTTATTGATATGTGGTGCTGAGAATAGAACCTAGTGCCTCACACATGCTAGGCAAGCGCTCTGCCACTGAGCCCCAGACCAGCCCCGACAGTTTCTTTTTGTATCTGTAGTTTCTCAAGGACTTTCTCTCTCTCTCTCTCTCTTTTTTTTTTTTTTTTGTTGCGGTACTGGGGATAGAACCCAGCAGCGCCATACCACTGAGCTACAGCCTTAGCCCTCTTAAAAGCACTCCTTAGCCCCTGAAAGAATTTCTGAAATCCAGTAACCAAGGACTGCTAAACTGTTTCTCAATATAGCTAATTTATGTATATGATCCATTAGCTTAGCCAGTAGGAATTTATTAAGAAGTCAATACAGCTGGGCGTGGTGGCACATGCCTGTAATCCCAGTGGATCAGGAGGCTGAGGCAGGATGACTGGGAGTTCAAAGACAGCCTCAGCAATTTAGTGAGGCCCGAAGCAACTTAGCGAGAGTCTCTAAATAAAATACAAAAATGGGCTGGGGATGTGGCCCAGTGGTTAAACGCCCCTGCATTCAATCCCTGGTACCAAAAGGAAAAGTCAATACAAAAAACGGGTTGGATTCCACATCTGTTTTGTGACTTCCTGATATTTGTATGCTCTTGATCACAAAAGATACCCAGGGATAAGACAGTGTAAATATTTTGCCAAAAAACCTTCACCACTGCAGAACAAAATAATTCCTGGTTCAGCCAAAGAACTGTGGCTTGCAACACTAGCACTAACTTTCAATGCAAATATAGACAAGGCGGAACAGTTAGCTAGAAGCAGACATGATAGGAAGCTGTTCTCATTTGTTTTCTCTGTATCTCTGTAAACTTTTAATTTAATTTTAACTTAACATAGTTTTACAACTTCTGAAATCAGATGTTAATACCAGCTTCTGCTTGTGCTGTCCTCTGCAGTGTGAACTGAATGAAAATAATGTCATTGGAATCTGCAGCTTTGTATCTAGGGACTCATCTTACAAATGCATAGAAGTTCAGTTGCTGGTGGCACAAGCCTGTGTCATCCTAGCAACTCAGGAGGCTGAGGCAGGAGGATTGCAATTTCCTCTGCAATTTAGCAAGACCCTGTCTCAAATTTTAAAAAGGGCTGGGGATGTAGCTCAGTGATAAAGTGCCCCTGGGTTCAATCCCAGCACAGAAGGAAGGAAGGAAGGGAGGAAGGGAGGGAGGGAGGGAGGGAGAGAGGTAGGGAGGGAAGGGTAGGAGGGAGGGAGGGACCAATAGGAGTTCTTTCAGCCAGGACCCAGAGGAGGAAGAGAAGTCATCTTATTTGAAGTGAACAAATAAACATATCAGGTTAAAGAAAAGCAATAAGCATGATTAAAATACATCATTTCTTTTTCAAGTTCCACTTGATTTAAGGGAGCATTTGTGTTTTTAAGTCATTCTTTTTAAGAATGTTCCTCTTAACAAATGAGGTGTTTCACTTACCGTGTAGAAACCACTCAGTTTCCCTTTCTGTTTAGACCAGACAAGATTTATTAGCTTGTCTTTCCCCTCCGTGGGCCTCGCTCTGCCTGCTGGTACTCAGACCTTCTTGGTGGGTTCTCAATCACCCCTGGTGATGAATCCCTGAGAGTCATATTTTTAGAAAGGACACCCTTAGAAGAAAGAGCTCAGGGCTTAGCCTACAAAGCTAGGAAAGAGTGATCCTGGGGAAAATGGAGAAATTTAGTTGAGTGAGTTTCTGAAGCACCCTTGGAGTGCCAAAGAATTAGGAAGTGATCTGGCACCTGTAATCCCAGAGGATCGGGAGGCTGAGGCAGGAGGATCACAAGTTCAAGGCCAACCTCAGCAATTTAATGAGGCTCTAAGCAACTCAGTGAGACCCTGTCTCAATAAATAAATAATAAATAGACTCAGAATGTGGCTCTGTGGTTAAACACCCCTGGATTCAATCCCTAGTGCTAAAAATGAATGAATGAATGAATAAATAAATAAATAAATAAATAAAGAAGGAAAAAAAAAGTAAAAAGATCCAAATTCCTTTTAAATTCCTGTTGCTGAGGCTGGCTTTGAACTTGCAATCCTCCTGCCTCAGCCTCCCGAACCGGTGGGATGACAGGCATGCATCACCATGTCCGGCTCCTGGCAAGAGCTTTTCTGTATGTCAGAGGAAACAAAATAGTATTATAATGGGCTGCATTGTTCAATTTTGATTATCCACACTGAAAGAGGAAACTGGTGAGAGCTACCGATAAGCAGTAAATAAATAATCAAAAAGATCAGACATTAGATGTTGGAATGTGTTATTTAGCTTCCTTGCGACATGAGTGGGCCAAATGACCCAAGACTCCATTTTGAACTAGGTCATGGTTTCGCATTGTAAAGATGTGTCTCCAAAGAAGTGACGCAAGGATGTATTTTCATTAGATTCAAAGAGAGAGAGAGATTCTATTCTAACTCTGTCTCCCTCCCGCCTGTCACCTGCTCTGGGTCTTCCGATGTATACCTGAGACTGAGCAGACTGACCACCCTTCAAACTGTCCTGGGAAACTGAGGTAGCTCCCTGATGGGTTAAGTGCCTGAAATGCAATGGAGTGGGGCAGCAGATAAACATCATTCTTGTGGGTGTGACTTGGCCAGAGGCTTAACTGAGGGCTAAGGGGACGAACCTGGGGCTGGGCTGGCTCTCTGCTGCTGGCCCTCCAGGGACACGCCGATCTTCCACTAGTGGCATCCCTTCTCAGGAACCTTGGCAAAAAATGAGGAAGCTGGATGGTTATTGCTTACTGTGTTCAAATGGTAAAGGTATATGTTTCAGGCAGTAAATGTAAATGGAAGTTTTTCTTGGAGTGAGATTCTGCCAATCATCCATCTAGGTAACTGAGAGGTGACCCCATATATATATATACCCCTACCTTCCAGACAGCATATATGACATTGTAATGTGGCATTTGCATGATTTATTATTTCAATTCTCAGGCACTCTCTGGGAAGTAGCCCAGTATAACTTCTGCTTTCTCTCTCTTTTTTTTTTTAAGAGAGAGAGAGAGAGAGAATTTTTTTTAATATTTATTTTTTAGTTTCCGGCGGACACAACATCTTTGTTTGTATGTGGTGCTGAGGATCGAACCTGGGCCGCACGCATGCCAGGCGAGCGCGCTACTGCTTGAGCCACATCCCCAGCCCTCTGCTTTCTCTCTTTTGGTTAAGAAAATTATTCCCAAATATTCTCCAGGGCAGTGGAGAGCAGGATAGCATGATAGGATCTTTCTGTTCATTGCAGGATATTTTGAGTAGCCTGAGGAAATATTGGATTTGATTCAGTGAGATGGCCCAAGTGGCAGCTAGAACCCTAGGCAACAAGTCTGGACAGGGTAGCTAGGTCTAGCTGACTCAAGGAAATGACAGGAACTTCATCTCTGAGTGGAAAAGCATGGAAGGGACCAGGTACAATGGTGCATACCTGTAATCCCTACCACTCTGGAGGCTAAGGCAGGAGGATCCCAAGTTTAAGGCCAGCCTCAGCAACTTAGCAAAACCCTGTTTTCAAAATAAAAAAAAATTAAAAAGGGCTAGGGATGCCGCTCAGTGGTAGACAGCCCCGTCTATTTTGTTTAGTCCCAAGTACTGGGGAAAAAAAAAAAAAAAAAAAAAAAAAAAAAAGGGGGGGTGAGAAATATTTGAATGTTTTATGAGGTATTTTGTTTCAGGGCTCAACCCCAGGGCTTCCCACATGCTAGGCAAGGGCTCTGCCACTGAGCCACACCCCCAGCTCTCAAATTGGTTTTTAGGAGAACTACACAAAAGTCTCCAGGAAACTGCTTAAGGAATCGTTTCATACTGATAGGCATTCCCTCTTGGAGACTTAAGAGTTTTTTTGTTTTGTTTTAATTAAGATTTTTTTTTCTTTTATATTGAGGATTTAGCTCAGGGACACTTTACCACTGAGCTACATCCCCAGCCCATTTTTAAAATGTTACTTTGGGACAGGGTCTTGTGAGTTGCCCAGTCTCTCAAACTTGTGATCCTCCTGCCTCAGCCTCAGTTACAGGTGTGTACCACCATGACCAGCTTAATGATTCTTTTTAAAAAGTTTTTTGTAGTTTTCTAAATCATGTTCTACAAATGGAAACCTGAAAGCTAACTATTCAGTATTATTCAATATTACAATCAGACAGTGATGCTTCAGTGGGAGCCTAGGGAGGACCTTAGAGGAGGTACGTGGATCCAGGGCCTTGACTGGATGGAGTGAGTGGCCCTACAGGAAGGCCTCTTGGGGTTGAAGTTCAGAAAAACCAAACACATCCTCAAAGACTGATTTACAAACTGGCGTGTCAATGTATTTTTACCACAGGAGACTTCTGTACAGCACATTCCCTCTTAGAAGTTGTGCTCAGAAAATCAAAAATGTAAAGCAAAAGTTTGTGTAATGAGCGCCTATCCAGATAAAGGAAGAGAGGAAGGGAAAGAGGGAGGGAGGGAGGGAGGAACAGGGACTAGAGGAAGGGGCCGGAAGGAAGCACCTTGCAGGAAGCCAAGATGGCTGCCAGGCCTCCCCCAGGGGCACCTCCTATTGTCACTAGGACACACAGGCTCATGGCCTTTCCTTTTCCTTTCTTCTCCTTTCAGCATTTAGTTATCAGCCACCAGGGTGACTCTAATGACTGACCTCTTATAGCTTTAGCTATATTTAACGTGCTCCTGAGAAAGCAGGGCTCCCCTGACTTTGCCCAGGCTGCCTGAAGATTTCTACAGTGGGCCCATCCCATGATTCTCAATTTCCATTTCAGAAACTTCCATGTCAGAGGTCGGTGTTTTCCCATCTCTTCCCCTCAGTTGTGTGGGGGGTGTCCCCTCCTGGAGGCCCCCCAGTCTCCCCAGCAGGGATCTCTCTTGGTCCGTCCATGGGCTTGTTTTCGTGTCCAGTGTCTGAAGAGTGTTTTGTGTTCCCTGATTTCCAGTGGCCGTCAGTTACAAGATCAGAAACGCCGACCCATGCAGGAATCACAGTGTCTGTTTTCACTGTCTTCCAGTGTCATCTTGCATTACAACATATAAGAAGACACCACCTCCAGTCCCACCCAGAACTACCACGAAACCTTTCATTTCTATCACAGCCCAGAGTAGCACAGAGTCTGCGCAGGATGCCTACATGGACGGACAGGGCCAGCGAGGGGACATTATCAGCCAGTCTGGACTCAGCAACTCCACAGAAAGCCTGGACAGTATGAAGGCTCTGACAGCCGCCATCGAGGCCGCCAACGCCCAGATTCACGGCCCTGCGAGTCAGCACATGGGCAATAACACTGCCGCGGTCACCACCACCACCACCATAGCCACAGTCACCACAGAGGACAGGAAGAAGGACCTTAAGAAAAACCGATGCCTGTCTATCGGGATACAGGTAACAGCCTCCCTTGTGCCCTTTGAAATGGGAACCATAACTAAGAAATATAGCACATCTTTTTTTTTTCTATCCAGAAGTTTATTATTTTGTCATTGCCAACACTATAGTTATATATGTAGGACCAGATTTGCAAAAAAGAAAAAAAATTGGCTCTGGATTCCCTATATGGGTAAATGTGACCCAAATTATGAAGAGATGAGTTGTTATTCACAGCTCTTGTTTTTATTCTCTAAATTGAATGTGTGACTTGAACCCTAAGCTAATTTAAGGAACATGAACACGATCAAACATAAAGTGCCCTTTGGTTCCTACTGAGCGTTTGGAGTCTCATACGGGACTGGACAGCCAAGAATAGCCAGAGTCATCCAGTGCCCTGCTATGTATCCAACCCTGTTGAGTCACCATATGGAACACCAGTGCGCTTCTCTCCTCCCAGATGTGGGAGAGTAAGGCTGGGAGCATGGTGGTATTGAAAGCCCAAACTCATGTTCCAGCATCACAAGCAAAGAATGTGCATCACTTTCAGCCTAACTGTTGGCTCATTTCATAAAAGTCGTGGACCACTCTGCCGGTTCACTGTTGGCTGCTTTTCTGAGACAGTTCTGATCTGATTTCCCTTGGTGTTTTTTTTTTTTTTTTCTTTTGGGTTAAACCCACAGGCACTTAACCACTGAGCTACATCCCCAGCCTTTTTTTATTTTCTTATTTTTGAGACAGGGTCTCACTAGGTTGATCAGTTGCTGAGGCTGACCTCAAACTCGTGATCCTCCTGCCTCAGCCTTTAGAGTCGCTGGGATTACAGCCATATCCACCACATCTGGCCAGCCTTATCTTTTTTCTTTTTGATAATCGGGATTGATTTCAGGGGCACTTAACCACTGAGCCACATTGCCAGCCCATTTTTTATGTTTGATTTAGAGACAGAGTTTTGCTAAGTTACTTAGGTCTTCGCTAGGTTGTGAGGCTGGCTTTGAACTCAGGATCCTTCTGCCTCAGCCTCCCAAGCCATTGAAATTATAAGCATACACCACTGTGCCCAGCCAGCCTTATCTTTTTTCACGTGTTTATCTTTGGTTACCCTACAAGAAAGACTACCTTCTATCAGAGAAGATTCATTCCTTTTCTCCATCTCTGTTGTGCTGTCTCATTCTGCAGGTGTTCACTGAATAGTAACTTCTATAGTAACTTCTCAACTTGGTCTTTAATCCCCACTGAACTCTAGGTACATCTAAAAGCCAGGCGTAGGGTACCTTCTTACAATTGCTGATGTATTTTCACAATCTGTTCCACAACGCTCACTTTGAAAAGGCAATTAATCTTTCTCTAGTGGCAACGGGTCAAATGCCTTTTTATAATCTCCAGGTAACCATAGCACAAGTTGTCAAGCTTCCTAAAAGAGCTTGGATCAGTGATGCTTGGGAGTAGATGACACAGGAGGAGGCAAGGCCCCAGCCAGCCTGCTGCCCACATCTCTATTTCCCCCAGAAGCCAAGTCCCCTCCCATCACCCAAGGATTAAGGAGTAGGGAAGGACAGAGGCTGGCCCTCTGTGTGGTCCTAGGAAAACCATTTAATCTTACTGAGCTTTAGTTTCTTTGTCTCTCTTTCATAGGATGATTTGGACGATCTAGTTTTCAAAAATCTAGCTTTCTGTAGGTGTTATTGTTTAATGTTATTATTTATTATTATTTGTATTTAATTTAGAGACAGAGTCTCACTGAGTTGCTTAGCACCTCGCCTTTGCTGAGACTGGCTTTGAACTTGTGATCCTCCTGTCTCAGCCTCCCGAGCCTCTGGGATTACAGGCGTGCACCCCCACTTAATGTTATTTTTTAACCCTAACAGAGTTACAGTTTAGGCTGATGAAAAAATTCTGGAGATAGATAATAGAGCTGATTGCACAAAATGCGAATGTACTTAATGCCAGTGAATGGCACACTTAAAAAGAGTATTAAGCCCAGCGTGGTGGTTCACACCTGTAATTCCAGTGGCTTGAGAGGCTGAGACAGGAGGTTCGCAAGTTCAAAGCCAGCCTCAGCAACAGTGAGGTGCTAAGCAACTCAGTGAGACCCTGTCTCTAAATTAATATAAAAAAGGGCTGGGGATTGGCTCAGTGGTCAAGTACCCCTGAGTTCAATCACCAGTACCCCCCCAAAAAAAAGATTATTAAAATGGTACATTTTATGTTATATATATATTGCTATAATAATAGAAAGTTGCCTTCCTATCTGGCACATAGTTGGTACCAAGGCATGTTAACCTGTTTCTACTTCCTCAACATTTAATTCATTTTTTTCTTTATTTTATATTACTTTCAGTAAGTAATACATCTCTGTTGTTCAAAATTCCAAACTTGTTCTTAAAAAGTGTACAGTGACCAAAGATACAATCAATATTTGCATCTCTATGCAGGCATATTTTGCACATATTCAAGCAAATTTTTTTTATTTAGTCCTTTTTTAATCCAGATATTAGCATACGCCTCACACTATTCTACATTTTTTGCCTTTTTTTTTTCACTTGACAATGTATTTTGAGGATAACTATTTGTTAGTCTTGCTTTTCTTTTTTCTGTTTCTCCCCCCCAACCCGGCCCCCCAGTAATGGGAGATGAACTCAGGACTTCACACATGCTAGGCAAGCACTGTATCTCTGAGCTACATCTTATCTCCTAATTTCATTTTATTTAAAAGCTTCTATGTGCTTATTTTAATCACTTCCCAAGTTCTGCTGGTTTGTCATATCTCCTCCTTGCCAAATAATTCTAAGAATAAGGCATTTGTATATATGAAATCCAACTTCTAGTATCAATATTTTCATCCAATAAGATGGGTGAAAATCCACATGTAGTATTGGGGAGAAAAGTTTTTACTCTAGAAATTATTCCATTTACTAAAGGATACTTTAGTAAATGAAAGAAACTGTTTTGGCTCTTCCTTCAACTGTCTTGCTCTACTATATAAATTATGGTAAAATACTGATACTTGATGATATGAATGTGTTAGTTAGTTGTCCAGTACTGTAACAAAATACCCAAGGTAATCAACTTAAAAAGATGAAAGGTTTATTCTGGCTCAGAGTTTTGGAGGTTTCAGCCCATGGTCAGTTGGTCCTGTTGGTTTGGGGCCTCTGGTGAGGCAGCATACCATGGCAGAGAGTGTGATGATACAAACTGCTCATCCCATGGTGGCCAGGAAGAAGAGGGACTGGGATCGAATATCCCCTTCAAGAACACGCCCCGTATTACTAGAAGACCTCCCAGTAGTTCCCACCTCTTAAAGGTTCTAGCGCCTCCCAACTGTGCCAAGCTGGGGGCTAAGCCTTTAACACCTGGGCCTTTGAAGAATATTCCAGATCCAAATTATAGCAATAAGTGTCTCATTTAACCAGTACTGCCACTCTGTGCATGGTTTATTATCATTATTACTACCCTTCAGATGAGCACTGAGAGATTGAGTAACTTGCCAAAGGTCACACACCTTATGTTGACGGAATAAAGACTGTACCTCAGTATCTAATGTCACCACATTACACTGCTTCAACAATGGGGAATAATAAACAACTAAAAATTCAAGATGCAAAATATGTATTGAATTTCATTATGTAGAAATATAATTTAAAAACTAAACTGGTTGCGGTGGCTCACACCTGTAATACCAGCGAATCAGGAGGCTGAGGCAGGAGGATCAAGAGTTCAAAGCCAGCCTCAGCAAAGGTGAGGTGCTAAGCAACTCAGTGAGACCCTGTCCCTAAATAAAATATAAAATAGGGCTGAGGATGTGGCTCAGTGGTTGAATGCCCCTGTGTTCAATCCCCAGTACCCAAAGCAAAAAAAACTAATCCCCCAAATACATGACATTAGGATATTGGACTCCCTCCCACCCCTTTACCTCTTTAGGGGTTCCAAACTTATCCTCACACTTTTAATTCATTATACACCTACTAGCTGATATTATAACCATTTACTCTACAACCTATATAAATTTAAGCCAATTATTTCTGGGTCTTAGTTTCCTCGTCTGGTAAATGAAAATAATAATTGTTCTTATTTCATTTGGTACTTTATAGGATACAGAAAAAAATGAGTGATAAGGCTTTAAATCAATACATGCTGTAATAAGGGCTTAACAAATATTAGATTTAGTTGTTATTATTAATATTATCCTCCTTTATAATAACCATTAGCCAAATAAACTAAGTTGCTTAGGGTCTCACTAAGTTGCTGAGGCTGGCCTTGAACTTTGAATCCTCCTGCCTCAGCCTCCCGAGTTGCCAGGATTACAGATGTATTCCACCACACCCAGCACTTTCTCAATTTTTTAAGGAGATTTAATGGTTCTGCAATTTCTTCTGAAATTTTTGAAATTCTCTTCAGAAATTTAAGTAGATTATCTTAGATATCATATATGAAAAGTGGCTTTTGGCCTGATGATGTAGTTCATTGATAGAGCACTTGCCTCCTGGCATGCATGAGGCACAAGTCCAATCCCCAGCACCACAAAAATAATATAAAATAAAAAGAAAGGCAACATTTGTTAGTATTTGGATCTAACTAAGAAGGAGAATCACAGAGATAAACTTCACACACACTGACTCAAGCTTGGAAGACACCAAGATTTTGATGCAAATGAGCAGGCAGTTTGGGTACATGGGGTGAGGCTTGAACCCAGAAGACTCCATTCTCATCCTTGAGGCCCCTGATTCTTCTTTTTTTCTGTTTTCTCTGCATTCTGGAAGTGATTTTGATACTACCGCATGGTGTAAGGCCGCAGCATTCTGGTTTGGCTGATATCCTAAGCATTTTTAATTTACACGGGTCCAGCCATGTGGAATCGGTTAGAATCCTATTCAGGAAATCAGAAGCCAGGCTCATTTTTCAAATGGAAGCCTGCCTCGTGCACACAATTGGTTACACAGATCTGGGAAGGCTGAGAGCAGTAAAGGAATACAGTAACGGTGACCATTCCTAGAACCAGGGGAACACAAGGGGGAAGGTGGGGTTGCCAGGATTTAGGAGCTAAGCTAAGCAGGAAGGCCCTGAGCCCACAGCACTGGGGCAGCCATGACCGCTGGAGCTGGAGTTCTGGGGAGTCCAGGGCAGCTGGAGCTGGGCTGTTGAAGGGGGCTGGAGGCTGGAGCTGTAGCCACCCTCAGGTGGAGGGAAGGGAGGTACCACAGAAGTTGGAAACAGGGCTGCTCATGGGCTGCTCATGGTGGGGCACACCTGTAATCTTAGTGACTGGGAGGCTGAGGCAGGAGGATCTTAAATTTAAGGCCAGCCTCATCAATTGAGCAAGACCCTGTTTCAAAATAAAAAGGGCTCAGTGCTAAAGCACCCCTGGGTTCAATCCACAGTACCACAAAAAACTACTGAAAACAGGAAAGAAGTTTCTCCCCACCTTCTTCTTTTTTTTTAATATTTTTTAGTTGTAAATGGATCTTTTATTTTACTTATTTATTTATATGCCCAGGGCTCACACATACCAAGCAAATGCTCTACCACAACTCCAGCACTCCCACCTTCTTTTGTTAGCTTTTTCTTTTTTTTTTTTTGGTATTTTATTTAGAGACAGGATCTTGCTGAGTTGCTGAGTTCCTCAGGGCCTCACTAAATTGTTAAGGCTGGCTTTGAACTCCTGATCCTTTTTGCCTCAGCCTCCCAAGCTGGAATTACAGGATGTGCCACCAAACCCAGCAAAATTTTTTTTCTTAAAATTACAAAACGAGCCGGCATGATGTCACACGCTTACAATCTCAGCGACTGGGGAGGCTGAGGCAGAAGGATTGTACATTCAAGGCCAGCCTTCTCAGCGGAGTGATCCTAAGCCACTTAGCAAGACGTTGTCTCAAAATAAAAAATAAAAAGGACTGGGGATGTGTCTTGGTGGTAAAACACCCCTGGGTTTAATCCCCTGTTACCAAAAAAAAAAAAAAAAAAAAGCAAAATGATTTATATGATAGAGTGTATACAGAACAAAATATGAAATCCCCCCCTTCTTCCCCACCCCAACTCCTGCTCTAGCTCCACTTCCCCCTAAAATGACCACTGGCAACAGTTGGTTACACTGCCTTCCCATCTTGAGAGTAGTTCAACTTCAGATGCGTTTTACATGCTAGTCTAGGGAGTCTGACTTCTCTACATCTAGATATGTGTGACATCTGTCATCCCTTAATTTATGTTGCAAAGCAAGAATAACTGAGCTTTAAACTTCATTGTTCACAGTATACAAAATGCAACTGCTTTCTCCTTCTTCAAATTAAAAAAGTAAAAGGACATCAGCCTATTTGGGAGGCACTCCTAAGATTTACTGTTTCATTTCCTTTACTGTTCGTCCACTTATGCCAAGACATAATCTACGTCCTGTGTGAAGAAGAAGTACAATGGCAAATGATGAAACTTGTCTCTGACAAATTATCTTCCCTAGAACAACACAACCCAACTAAATGGATTGTTAGATGATGTTTAAAAAGTTCTTTGAAAATAAAAAGGTCACCTTCTCTCTGACTCCCAATTGACTTGAAACAATAAGGGAAATTGCAGGTGATAGTTGCATTTGGGCCTTGTACTTTTTTCTTTTTTCTTCTCTTTTTTGATGTCCTTGAAATCAGCATCTATGCGTATTTGGGAAGAGATGGTGAGGGGGGGATGTAAGTCAAAACTAATGAACCTACCAAGTTCATTTCATTAGATCCAAGAAAGAATAAATATTGCAGTCATGTTTTCCAAACATTGTGCTTTAAAACTAGGAATTAACCAATCACAAAATCTAACTATTTGAAAATATTAAAACATCTAAATAACACTAGAGTTAAAGAGAAAATTCTAAATTATTGTGAACTAACTGACAAGTATCCTGTAAATCACTGTAGGGTTTAGCCAGAGCTGTCATCTAAAAGTTAACAGCCCTGTGTTCTTTTGAAATTAAGGAAGAAATTAATCAAGAAATTAAGGAGAAAAAAGGAAGAAATATTATAAACTAAACATTCAATTCAAAAAAGCCAGAAAAAGAAAAGCAAATTAAAAGGAAGACGTTACTAGTAGTGAAAGTAGAGATGAGTGCATTAAGAACAAAAAAAGCAATGGCAATAATGAAAACAGAACAGATAACATTAAACCAGGGCTGGGGATGTGGCTCAAGCAGTAGCGCGCTCGCCTGGCATGTGTGCGGCCCGGGTTCGATCCTCAGCACCACATACAAACAAAGATGTTGTATCCGTTGAAAACTAAAAAATAAATATTAAAAAAAAAAATTAAACCAAAGTCAGTTCTTTGAAAAGACCAAATAAGACCAAATAAATAGACAAGTCTGACTGAGAGAGAAGGAAAATGTCAATTAACAGTATTTGGAATGAGAAAAGAATATGACCTCCCGCAAAACTACAAAAGATTCTTGGTGCCAATTTAATGTTGGCAAATTTTAAGTCAAATTAAATAAACATACGTGTGAATTGATAATACTGATGCAAGAGAAAGTGTAAAATCTAGGTGAAGAAACCTCAGAATAAATTGCAAAAAAAAAAAAAAAAGAAAAGATGTCTAATACTGTAAAGACTTGGATGATTTTACAGAAAAGGTTTTCCCAACGTTCAAGAAGTTAATAATTCCTATGGGTTTTGTTTTGGGATTTTTTTGTTTGTTTGTTTTTGAGGTACTAGGGATTGAATGCAGGGGGTGCTTTACCACTGAGAAACATCTCCAGCTCTTTTTATTTTTTGTTTTGGGACAGGGTCTCGCTAAGTTGCTGAGGCTGGCCTTGAACTTGCAATCCTTGTGTCTCAGCTTTCTGAGTAGCTGAAATTACAGGCGTGTGCCACTGTGCCCAGCTGTTTACATTTTTAAAAAGAAAAAGGAAAAAAAAAAGAAGAAGAAAGAAAAACTACAGGAAACTTAGCATGGAATATATCAAGATTGATTACAAAATTATAGTAGGAAGAGGAGAGGGAGGAGCAATAAGGCCAGTAGATCAATAGCCGTAAAGAGGTCTGAGTGTAGAAATTTCTATATATATGAGAATGTATGGGCAAATATAGATGAGTAAAGCATGGTATAAGATAAAAATATATTTAAAAGATGAATTAAGTAATAAATGAATTAAGTAATAAGATTAGCTGATGACCCAAGTGGGTCAGGGAATGTTAGATGTCTATGTACATCTTACAGGATATTTAAGAACTAAATATGGAAAAAAAAAAACACACACACACACCTTGAGAACCTGGAAGTATAAAAACAAATACAGGCAAACTTTTAAAACTATGTTCAGAGTGAGGAAGTCCTTCCCAAACCATAAAAGCTAGATATAGATATATAATAAGATCAAGGACAAAGTTTAAAAGACAAAAGATCACCTGAGAAAAAAATATTTGCAGTGCATTTATCAGAAAAAGGATTTAGGTTCATAAAAGAGATCCTATAAACAAGAAATTCAAAAACACTAGGAAACTTATGTTTTCTTTATTTTAATTTGTGTGTGTGTGTGTGGTGCTGGGGATTGAACCCAGGGCCCTGTGCATATGAGGCAAGCACTCTACCAATTGAGCTATATTCCCAGCCCTACATTTTCTTATATATAGTGTAGAAAATGTAAGTTTCCCAATGTTTTTAAATTTATCTTATCACTATATATATATATATATATATATATATATATATATATATATATATATATATACACACACACACACACATATATATATGCACATATATACACATATACGCACGTAAATACAGGAATATATGTATATATGCCCTCACCCCCAGTATTTGAGATTGAACCCAGAGGTGCTCTACCAGTGACCCACATCTTCAGCCCTTCTTATTTTTTATTTTGAGACAGAGTCTCTCTTAAGTTGCTCAGGGCCTTGCTAAATTGCTGAGGCTGACCTTGAATTTGAGATTCTCTTGCTTCAACCTCTCAAATCACTGGGATTACAGGCGGGCACCATTGCAGCCTGCAATTTGCTAATTTAGAACTTCCAAGAACACATTTCCAAGTAACACTACCTTCTAGTGCAGTACACAGAAGTAATTAATCACAGTCACCCCTCTGTATCAATGGATCCAGGCAACCGCAGATCAAAACTGTCTTTTAGAAAAGCATCTGTATTGAACATGGACAGACGTTTTTCCCTTCATGATTCTCTTGAACAATACAGTACAATAACTATTTACATAGTACTAGGCATTATAAGTAACCTAGAGATGATTTTTAAATATGGGAGGATACACATAAGTTATGCAAATGCCAATGTGATTTTATAGAGGAGATGAGCATTTGTGGATTTGGATGGGTATCTGTGGGGATCCTGGAACCACTCCCCTATGGATGCCATGGGACACTTGTACTTGGAAATTCATGGAGGAATCATAGACCTTTATCTGCCACCTTGGGAATGAATAAAATTGCTTTGTAAGATCAGCAGAGTCAAAGGTCATGCTAATACAGTAGCGATGGCTCTTATCAGGTACACAAATATTGAACAAAAAGGTTACGAATCACAAAATTTTTCCAGTAATCCTGCAGATGTTTGTTTTTCAGACAAGGTGACTGAGTTGGAACAACTGAATTTGTTTGATGATTTCTGCAGGTGGATGATGCTGAAGAACCTGACAAAGCAGCAGAGAATAAAGCACCCAGCAAGTTCCAGTCCGTGGGCGTGCAAGTAGAAGAGGAGAAGTGGTGAGTCCATATGTGTTCATCTTTTCTTGTCTTGGTGTTGGCAACTAAGATGAAATTATTAGTCCCCATGATAAACCTATACAAGTCAATATTCTCCAAGGCTCCACTAGTTTGGAGGAGTACTAAGAATAAACTTAGGCCAATATTAGCTGATTCCCTCTTAAGCTTCATTCTAGACACTTCTCCATCTAAATTTTCATCAGAATAGATGTTTAAGTGCATCATATTCACACACACACACAAAAAAAAATTAAGATTGGAATTGTACTTTTATCCGGTACAATACAATGCATATAGTATGTTGGATTTGCCAAATTTCTTTATGTATTTTTTCTTACTACTTAATAGTGTCTGGGGTTTATTATGTGCTCAATGAATGAAGAGAAGGAAAAAAAAAAAGAATATTCCCTATCATTATCCTAAACCACCAGTTCCTTCAGATTGCTCTTTAAACTAAGCTTAAAGTCTTAATACCTAAAGTGGGACATTTAGGGTATCATAAGATCACAGAATTCAGGATCTGGAAGGGATTTCTGAAGCTAGCCCTTTCATTTCACAAATGAGATTTTGAAGGAGAGGTATGTGAGTTTCTCAGTTGAACTTTGAGGTTCTAAATGGCATTGCGCTCTATTTATAGTAGTACCCAGCTTCCAGCACTATGCTTTGCATATATTGTAAAGTCTGGCTGAATTAAGTAAAAGTGGAGTTATGGTAGAAGAAAGAGTATTGATTATGAATCAGAATTCATCTCAATTTTACATTAACTTCTGTGTGTTAATTAGAATCATTTGGGCCAGGTGTGGTTATGGATACCTATAATCCCAGTGACCCTGGAGGCTGAGGCAAGAGGATCCCAAGTTCAAAGCCAGCCTCAGCAACTAAGTGAGGCCCTAGGCAACTTACTGAGACCCTGTCTCAAAATAAAAACTGAAAAGGACTGGAGATGTGGCTCAGTGGTAAAACACCACTGGGTTTAATCCCCAGTACCGTAGTAGTAGTAGTAGTAGTAGTAGTAGTAATTATTATCATTTGGTTGTCATTCATTGATGCATCCATCAGATATCCATTCAATAAATATCAGTGGAATGATTCCTATATGCAAAGCCACATATGTAAACTAAAAAGAAGTCAGGCATCAGGCTATGGTGCAGTTTAGTGGTAGAGTGCAGATGTAGCTCTGGGTTCAATCTCCATCACACATACACACACAAAAGACATTTTTCCATTAATTCATAGAAGAGGTCCTATCTTTTTTATTTTATTTTTTCTGTGCTGGGATCAAACTCAGGGCCTTTCACATGCTAGGTAATTTCTTTGCTACTGAGCTATATAAACCCAGCCCAGTGTTCTTTTAGAATGCCTGATATTGATTGGGATTGTACTTTTATCTAAGAGGCGCGCGCGCACGCACATATGCGCGCACACACACACAGACACATACACACGATTATACAATGCTGGAAGCTCAGAAAATTGGTACAGCCCTTGTGGAAATTAATGGGACCCAAAACATTAGTGAATAGTTATACATTTATGCATACACATGACCCAATTAATCATACTGATGGAGCTGTCTCCAATGAAATCACTCAACGGGCAGGACACAATTGTGGAACATTATCACTGCAAAAGAAATACATTAATTATCAAGTATCAAACAACAATAGCAGGCTTTTAATTTTTAGCCCATCAACAAGCTAGACTATTATACAGCTTAACTGATACCATTAAATATCATTTATAAAAAAGGAAATCACCATGATACAATGTTAAGTGAAAAGGTTCAATGCATAATATCCATTCACATGGACCAGGGTTGAAATGTAATATGTAAAAATGATAGTTTTCATTTCTTTTTTTTCCCCTTACTCTAAATATTCACTTATTGACTTTAAATCTGAATTTTAGTAAGCATTATTTTTATGCCAACCCTTCTAAGCATGTGTTCCTTTATTAGATATTTTATTTTTTGTGTATGTAGTGCTGGGGATGGAACCTGGGGCTTCAAGCATACTAAGCAAGGGTTCTACCCGTGAGCTGTACTGCAGCCCTGACAAGTGTGTGTGTGTGTGTGTGTGTGTGTGTGTGTGTGTGTGTGTGTGTGAAGTATGAATTTAGTAGACCTGAATGATCTCCTCCTGGTAAGAACCCCTGTTCTTCCAACTGCCTGCCAACATTCCAACCTGCTTGTTTTTCTCAATGGTATAGTGCTTAAGAGCTCAGATTCTTGACCCAGAACACCTATCCCCAAATCCTGGATGTACCCTTTCCTAGCTGAGTGCCCTTGAGCAAATGACTACATATTTTTCTGCATGGCTTCCTTTTATGTAAAGAGGGGATAACAGGCCATTTCTAGTCCAGCCTATCAGGAGCTCAGAATCACCATTCTATCCTAATAACAAGTAAAAAATCTGAACAAACTGAAAAATCAACAAGTCTTCTTGTATATGTGAGAGAAGGGAAGTCACAGAGCAAATCACCCCTGCCCCTCTCCTCCTCAAAAAAAAAAAAAAAAAAAGTTAGAGGCTGGAGAAACAGAGAAAATCACAACTTGCTGGAAAAGAAACCAACAGGCAGAAACCACTGCAGCAACCAGAGGAAATCTACACTGTAATTGAAGAATTACGATTCTGGGAGTTATAAATTCCAGGGAGTCCAGTCAAGGGGAGGCCCCCAGGGAGCCTACCTCCAGGAGCTCTACCTGTGGATACTGAGGGGAAAGTCCCTTGTTCTTCCAGCAAGCAGGGAGGAAAAAGAACCATCCGGAATGCCCAGCACCCTGCTCTCCATAAGGCCTGCACCCCCCACAGACTATTTTACCAGTGCTTTTGCCTGCTGGGCTTTATCAGAGCCTAATAATCTACCTGGAGGAAGGGAGCTCTCAGCTCCAACTTTCCCCAGCTCCACACAGAGAAAGGGATAGTCCAACTCTAGTTCCCATTAGCCACCTTGTCCCTTGTAAAGGAAAAGAAAAGCTGAGTAACCAGTGCAGTCTGCAGTCCAGGGGACAGGGTTCCTTGCAAAATGAGACTCAGTCATAGTACTGTAGAAACCCACCCTCCCCACACCTCAGCCCTACAGTGTTAAAGCCCTACCTACCACGGTTTGTTTCACACAACACATCACGTTCACTTTTTTAAAAATTATAAGGTATACTACAAGGTTAAAAACTCCATTTGAAAACAACAACAACAAAAACACCATTTGAAGAAATAGAACAAGCATCAGAGCCACAGTCCGATAAGGCAATAATGCTAGGATTACCAGACCAGAAATTTTTGTTCTCAAATTATGGTTAATGTGCTAGTGGCTCTAATGAAAGAAACAGAGAACATATAAAGTGGATGGATAATGTAAACAGAAAGATGGAAATTTTAAGGAAGAATCAAAAATCAATGCTAGAAGCTGGGTGTGGTGGCGCATATGCCTGAAATCCCAGTGGTTTGGGAGGCTGAGGCAGGAGGCTCTCGAGTTCAAAGCCAGCCTCAGCAACAGGGAGGTGCTAAGCAACTCAGTGAGGCCCTGTTTTTAAATGAAATACAAAATAGGGCTGAGGATGTGGCTCAGTGGTCAAGTGCCCCTGAGTTCAATCCCCAGAACCCCTCCCCTGCCAAAAAGTAAAAGCTAGAAGAATGTCAGCCAAGGGTTGTAGCTCAGAGGTAGAGCTCATGCTGAGACTTTGGGTTCAATTCCCAACACCCCCCCCCCCAAAAAAAAAAAAAAGGGCAGGGGAGAGAGAGAGAATATGTCTTTAAAGTGCTCCTTAGATGGACACTAATCTCTGAAGTTGAGGATAATAATAATCTCTGCATCTCTGAGCTTGAAGAGATAATAATATAAACTTCCCAAACTAAAAAAGCAAAGAGAAAAAGGCTGGAAAATAAATAAATAAATACCAGACCAGACTATTGGAGAACTGTGGGACAACTACAAAGGATGCAGCGTACAGGGGAGAGGACTACCAGAGGGAAGGAAAGGAACAGAAGCATACTTGAAACAATAATGATTGAGAATTAGTCAAAATGTCAGACATCAAACCAAGATCCAGGAAGAACATCAAGCAAGATAAATGCAAAACCAATCAAACAACAGTAACAAAAATCTGCACCAAGCCATGTCATAGCCAAACTTGAAAAAATCAAAGAACAGGAAAATTTATCTTTTAAGAAGCTAGAGACAAAGGACACCTTATCTATACCTTATCTATAGAGAAGCAAGGATAAGAACTACAATGGACCTCTCCTCAGTAACCACACAAGAATTGAATGAAAGGTTTAAAGTGTTGAGAGAAAAAACAAACAAACAAAACAAAACAAAACAGAAACAAAACACCAACTTAGAAGTCAGTACTCTGTAAAATTCTTAACAAGCAAAGGGGAAGGACAGGCCTGTGATCACAGCGACTTGGGAGGCTGAGGCAGGAGGATCGTGAGTCCAAAGCCAGCCTCAGCAATGGTGAGTCATTAAGCAACTCAGTGAGACCCTGTCTCTAAATAAAATACAACATAGGCCTGGGGATGTGGCTCAGTGGCTGAGTGCCCCTGATTTCAATCCCTGGTACCTGCCACCCCTAAAAAAAAAAAAAGGTGGGGAGGGGGAAGTACAATACAGACTTTCTCAAACAAAAATTGAAGGAATTTTGTCACCAGTGGGCCTGCCTTGCAAGAAGTGCTGAGAAGTTATTCTGACATAAGGAAAATTATATAGGTCAGGAACTAAAATTTTTTCAAAATATATTTTTCTTATTCTTCATTAATCTAATAGATAAATTTGTTCAAAATAATAACTGACAAAGTATTCAAATGTGTGTGTGTGTGTGTGTGTGTGTGTGTGTATTATATAAATAAAATCCCTGGATGGAGGAGGAGGAGGAGGAGGAGGAGGAGGAGGAGGAGAAGGAAGAAGAAGGAGGAGGAGAAGGAGAAGATGGAGGAGAAGAAGAAGAAGAAGGAGAAGAAGAAGAATCCCTTTAGATGTAAATAGTCTAAATACTTCATTAA